TAATAATAATAATAATAATAATAATAATAGAAACAGCTGTTTAAACCTTATAGGTAGTTGTTGCTTAACAACCACAATAGGGACTGGAAAGTTTGTTGTTAAGTGGGGCAGTTGTTAACCACGTTGCACCCGATTTTATGACCTTTTTTGCAGCGGTCATTAAGCAAATCACTTCAGCCATTAAGCAAATCATGCGGTTGTTAAGCAAATCCGGCTTTCCCCCATTGATTTTGCAAGACATTGGACCAAGCTGGGCTTCGGCCTGATCAATCAGAGCTGTTCGGGTGTCTTTAAGTCATGACAACGGCCACTAACTCAGGTGGCTTTCAAGCAGGTTTGGATAAAGGCATGGAGGAAGCCTCCATGTTACCTCCAGATTGGGGCAACTCTCCCCAAATACTACTGCTGCTGAACAGGAAGGGGGGTGGGGGTAGGTCTCTGTTTCCTGCTTGCAAGCCCGAGAAGCTGGATAGTATGAGAAGCAAAATGCCGAATTAAGATGGAGCTTGGGCTGATCCGTCATCCTTACATTCTTAGGTCAACACCCAGCTGTACAGTCAGAAGGAGAAGGAGCAGCTGGCACAGCTGATCAATACTATGCTGACATACAATCTTACCTACCATCAGGAGCGGACTCCCGAGGGCCAGTACGTCTACAAGCTTGACCCGTAAGTACCACCTTCTTTTCAGGCAGCAGGAAAGTGCTGCGCAGTCGTGGGGAGCATTTTGCACTCAGCAGCTGATTGTAGAATCGTTCTCCGTGGAAACGCGACATCTGATGCAGGAAGCAAAGGGTTGTCTGCAGCTCTGGGCCCTTGTGAATGTCAGACGTGCAAGTGGTGCTGCTGGGCCTTGAGCTTTATATGCAGCAGAACCAGCTGATTCAATGCTTAATGTTCAGAGACGCCAGTGATGTTTCAAATTGCTGAACAGAATGGCGGAGTCATAGTTACGTTTGCTCCCTGAGGATGATTTGGTGTGACTAGAAAACCAATGCCGTGGGGAAATCCCTGGGCTAGGGTCTCTGGTTTCCAGGGTTGTGCGTGCAGGGAGTTTTATATGTTCAAAAACGGCATCTCACAGCCAGAATCCCATGATTACTGCAGCGAGACTTCTTTATGCACAATTTTGGAAAAGCCAGACGCTACCAACAATACAAGAATGGTTGTTAAAACTGATGGAAATGGCAGAAAATGATAAACTGACTTGCTTATTAAAAGAAAACTCAAATAACTATTACCTTAAAGAATGGAAACCATTGATGGACTATTTGCAAAATGCAGGTGGGGTGAAGCTTACATGGGATATCTTTTTCTTTTACTTTATCTCACTTTTTCTTTTCCTTTTCTTTATAATTTGTATTTTCAATTTTCTTTTTCATTTCTAACTTTTAACTTTGTAACTTTAAAATTTAAATAAAATATTATTTAAAAAAAAAAACGGCATGTCACAGCCAGAATCTGAAAGTGGTACGGTCTGTTCCATCAGTTCAGTTCAGCTGCATAATAGACCCAGCCTGGTATGTGATTCACACACATGTGGATTAACTCATAGATACCTGAATATTGATTTATTTATTTAGTTTATATAATTATATAATATTTTATACACACACACACAATTAAATGTAATAATATTTAGTTCTTCTTTCCTTTGACAATAATGCTGCTGCCTTGGCTGCAAACCCTAGGAACGTGGAAGAAGTTTGTAGGTTTCCCGATCTTCCACTTCGGAAACCGCTGACTTACCAGGCCAAGCAGCTCATTGCAAGAGAGATCCAGCTGGAGAAGATGAAGCGAACAGAGGCTGCTCTCCAGGTATCAGCTCCCGCTTGACAAGCACCTTGGCAACTCTTGCACGGCTTGTGGGAAAGTTCTGAGCAGCTGGTAGATCGTAAGACAAATGCACCTTTTGTTCCCCCCATCCCTAATCTCAAAATGGAGACACCCATCCCCTGACACAGTCAAGTTTGCAAGCATTTTGTGGTAATCCAGAACAGCCAAGCTCTCCTTTTACTGCCTCGTTTGCAAACAGCGAGCCCAAAGAGGTTGAGTAGAACTGGCCGTGACCGTGTCTCTTTCCCCACCACACACGCCACAGGGTTACTGTCCATTATGGTACAACATCCAGAAGACTTCTGAGGAAAAACATGGGGGCAGTAAAAAGCGGGGGAGGGGGAATAGATCTTTTTTTCTTTTTCTTTCTTTGCCTATCCCATTCCTTAAATCTGCAACAAACTCCTGGGCATAGCATGCTCCGTTGCGTCACGACTCAGATGCTTCCTAAGAAGCAGGGCCAGCATCCATCCATTCAGGCTGAATTGAACTTGGAAACTGACTAGTAGCCAGTGCAGCTCGCGTAGCAGTGTAGAGCCATGGGCACCCCGAAAGGTGCTGCTTGCACTGCTGCATTTTGAACCAGCTGTAGCTTCCGGATGCAGCCCCACGTAGAACGCATTGCGATAATCCAGCCACGCACCTCAGGGCGCAAGCAACTGCCGGAGGGGCCTCCCGATTGAGGAAACGGCGCAGCCGGCACACGAGCCTGGCCTCTTTGGGCAGGAGCTGCGAGTCCAGCACCCCTAAACTGCACACCCGTCTTGAAGGGGAAAGTCCAGAGACCATGCTGGGGTAGCAAGAACTGGAAGTGTTGCAAAGAGCTTCATAAACATCGCTTTAAACTGGGTTACCAAAATTGCAGGTGTGGCTTGTTTCAATAAGAGTCAAGTGATGGCTGTTGTGGCAAGAAACCCTCATTTTGAATATACATTGATGGGGACTGAGCTAACTATCCTGGAAAAGGGTCTTGGAGTTGTTATAATGGGGAGCTCAACAAAGATGCCATTCAGGGCGTGGAGTCACCACAGCTGCGAGAAAGGCAAATTCCTGCTAGGGAGCATTAGAAAAAGGACTGAAATGAAATTACCCTAATCCAAATCTGTAGTACATCTCCGTGCAGAGCACAGTGCATAGATCTGGTCAGGACACTTGGAAAAGGATATAATAGAACAGGGGAAAGTTCAGTTAAGAACAACCAAAAAGGTAGGGAGAAGAACTGTCAAAATAGTATGAATATATTCCTCTAATGAAACTGATTGCAGTCAGATTGTAATTCAGTACCACAAGATATGGTGATGGCCGCCCACTTAAAAGAGGGTTGGATAAATTCACAGAAGACAGGTCTGTCCGGGTCTGAAGCTACACCCTGGTTGGGAGAAGATGCCTCCAAATAGCAGTTTTAGGGGTTAGGTTGACATTGTGAAAAGAAAGGTCTGGACCTTACAGCTGCTCTGCTCAAGAAGGCAGCGTTGCACCGTGAAATGTACGTTGTACATTTATGTACATTGTTTTATTGCATTTTAATTAGTATTTATTCTTGTTTTATTGTAAACTTCCCAGAATCGCTCCTTGAGCGAGATGGGCGGTGACTAAATTTGAAATATAAATAAATAAATATAAAGGCCAAATCTTTAAATGCAAATCAGTCAGGGCAGAGACAGTGGTAAGAAAGAAGAGGCTGGAACTCTGCTCAAAGCCAGGGGCCTGTGTTTTTTCCAAAAACTCCACGTTTAAAAATTGCCAGTATGCCAGCTGGCTGTGTCTAGATACAAGCAATATTAACCATTTAGCTTAATGAGCAACCCTCAGTACAAGCATTTCATATATGATGCAGCAAGTCCTCCCCTCTCTCACCCTCCTTAAGATGTGGGGCAGAACTGGTATATGCATGGGCATCCACAGGGGGGTCAAAAAAGTCAAGGCTGTCACAAGGCTTATAAAAATGGGGAAGGCTCCCCTCATGGCTGTCAACTCACCTTTTTTAATTCTCCCTGTGGATGTGCAGTTATAAAGTTGTTTTAGGCTAGGAGTTTTACAGAAGTACCAAAAGCCCACAGCTTTTGGCATTTGACCCAAATTAATTTTTTATAGTATCTCACCTTTAGCTTATTCGGTCTTGCCCGGCTCCCTGGTTCTCAGAGATCCTGGAAACTAGACGTGGTTTGCGAGCAGCTCTGGAGGCAGAACATTTCTAGTAATTGAGAACTGGCCTCAGTCACCCTGCTCCTCATTCATCTTTTTGATTAAAAACATCAGGATGAGTTTTAAAAATGAAGGATATCTACATTTTGCATAACGTATCCAGGATGATAGATAATGTTATTTCTTAAACCCAGAATACAAATATCGTTAATTTAGTAGGCCCAAGGATTTTGGCTTTTAATGGATTTAAATACAGACCAGCTGGAGATAAAAAGGGATATTTCAAGAGTTTTTATGTCTGTCTGTCTACCTACCTGCCTATCTACAGTGTCCAGCCAGCCAGCCAGCCAGCCTTACTGACATCATAAGATTTATCTCCAAGAATTATATGGAGCTCAGATTCTTGCATATTTGTGTTCCAACTGTATTTTGAAATAAAATTTTGTTGCTGCTCTTCCTCATACCAAGAGCAGAGAAGAGCCATACTAGAGTATTAATATTTTGGGGATTTGGAAACAACCCTAGTATTACAGTGTTATTACCAACAAAGTGTTATTACCAACAAAGGTAAACAGTAGTGTGCAGCATTTAAATCTCAGTAGGCAAAAGGTTTACATAAATATCATCTGAAAAGGATATTATAGTTTACCTGTGAACCCCAGAAAAATTCAGTGTGTGTGATGCATATAAATAGTTTCTCATCGTTTGTGGTAGTATGTATTCCACATGCCTTTATAACCTTTACATTGTAATTCCAAGAGTTATTCTGAAGTGGGAAGCACCAAAATCAAATTAGATAAATAAATTACATTGAATTCAGTGGAATTATCTTCTGGGTAGCATGTTGCTGATATTTAGTGCTATGAATAGTAATACATCCATTTGCTTATTAATTTATGTTTTGAGGGACAAGCATTGATTCTCAAGGTGATCCATGTGCCACAATCCATGTGTCACTCTTAAAAGGGAACAAATGTTTTTAACTGCTCTTTTTAAAAATAAGCATTTTGGTAAAAAAAATACACAAGTAAATGGGAGCCTTTTGAAATTGATCAGAAACACTTTCATTTTAAGCAAATTTTAAGACTAACAGTTGAAGATTGCACACAGTCCTGGCAAAACTGATGCGATTTTCCCCTTCTTTTTTTTCTCTCTCCTCCCCCCCCCCCATGAATGCTTCTCCTCTGCCCATCCCTCAGGCATCAGAAGCCAGATCAGTCCCCACAGAAACCAACCATGAAATGAGGATGAACGTGCAGCTGCGCAAATCCAGGATAAGGAACCACGAGCAAAGCCTTGACCAAATTGTGAAGAGAGCAACAATTGAGGAAAAGGTGATGGCAGCGTTCAAGGGTTGAAGGGGCAGCATGGCGCGGTGTTGCAGCGTTTGGCCAAAGCATATTTGGCCTTGCGAGGCAGATTGTGCACAGAGGAAAGCTAATCCTTTCTTTGGGTGGAGAAAGCACACAAGCCACAAGGTTAAAGACTCTGGAATACGTTGTCAGGCATTCTTGGAAAGGAGTTTGAGTTGGAGAGCCGTGTACATTAGTTGTCAAAACGGCCGCTAAGCAAGGAAACTGGTTCATGAAAAATTACAAATTGCAAAGTGAGAAACATGATTTCAGTCCCGATTCCAGTAGAGTTTTTTTTTATGGTGATTTTGCATCCACTCAGTCCAGCAGAGTTGTGGCGTGGATTCACCAGGGAAAACCCTGACCATGCCAAGGATGTGTTCACAGGCAGGATGGGAGGCCCAGAGCAAGTTCTGGAGAATTGACATGGTAGCCCTTAGGGCAGCTGCCGTGTGCTGGGAGAACAGAGCAGCCCGAAGTTTGTGAAGATGTTACTTGTAGAGATCAGTGCTTTAGCGCAGCGCCTCCAGTCAGTGGCCATCTCTGCCAGTTTGCAAACCGGCTCTGACAAAATGGAGGCCGTGGAGTGAGGAACCAATCACACCCCCTGCGTGGCCCAAGAAGATCGGGGGGGGGGGGCTTTT